CTACTATCGACATAAGATCACGAATTCTGTCTGAAACTTCGTCGGGGAGTGATAACTTCCGTCCAACAAAACGTTTCGTCCATTTGCCGATTCCGTAATAAATTCCGAAGCACTCGGACGACGAGTCGTTCGTTTTTGGTTGTAGCATCGGGTCTGGTTGTGCGCAAACCAGTTGCACCGACGGAGGCGCAAGAGAGTCTTTTTTTCAGGTCAACCTGTAACAATAACAGCCAAATACCGCAAACGCTTTTTTCAACCATTTCAACAGCCCCGACAATTGGGCTCTAGTTGCGTCTAAGGTGTACAGAGCGATGTACAAGAATACCGTTTACGATATGATCACACGCGTGCTGACGGCCGTGGTATATCGATGCGCGTAACGGACATTTCCGTTTTCGTCGGTCGGGTTATTCACTCGGACCGTCGCAGCTTCCGACCTTCGGGGAGGCATGATACCACGCGGGGAAACGTAACGAAGCCAGGGCCGGCTCAAGGTATAGGTGAGCTAGGCACCTGCCAAGAGCGGCACTTTAGTAGGGGTGGCATTTTAAAAATTGACTCGTACATTTTTTTTAGTTCTATCGGTGTTATATAAGAACAATATTTAAATTGATTTATTCGTGAAAACCACACACCTATTCAATGATATTATCTAAAGTTATTATATTACGGCCAACGCTGGACGATTTCAATTATTCCAAACATATAAATAATCACACAATCACTTCCGTCATTTACGACAGTAGCGATAGTGATGGGTTTTGAGTAAGAATTATAGAAATCATTTTTAAGTCTTTACATTTAATTTTATATATAAAATAAAAAATTGTAATTTTTTTATGTAGATATGTTACACATAGGAAGGGGCTAACTTAAAATAAGAGTTCATTTTTTTTTTTTTTTTATTTTGAGGTGGCAAAATTTGATTTTGCCTAGTGCACTATTTTTACTATTTTTACTCGGGCCGGCCCTGAACGTAGCCGTGGCCGAGGGTGTTTGTAACGCGGCACACGCCGCGTGTTAAACGAACGATGCGCGTGTATACTCTGCGCGGAGTTCAAGGGACCCATCCTTATCCGCGGGGCCTCGGGGAAATCGATCAAAAGTTCGTCGTGAAATTGATCGTTCGCTGATCGCGATCTTATCACGCGCACCGCTTTCCGTACCGCCCACCAGTACGCGCGGTGCGTTTTCGTGCGCCGCGACAATCATCGCGTCTATGGCGGCCGGGAAATTTATGACGCGTGCGAATCAAACGCGCGGAAAATCCGAAACGCGACGGGTGTTTAAACGCATCGAACCGACGGAATCATGAGTCTGCACTGAACGGTCGGCCGTCGTCTCGATATTATTACGACGGTTGTTCTGCTGCTGCGGCCCAGGAACACAGTGTGCGAGAGAGAAAGAGAGAGAGTGTTGCGAAATCGCGTATTCATCGTTTAGAAGACGAACGTTGGCCCGTCCATTTTTCGCGCGCACAATATCATATATTATTACATATCGTATACGTGTCCAGGACTTGGACGAGAAAAGAAATTAAAAGAAGAAAAAAAAAAAACAAAACAGTTTTATATACCTCATCGTTTGAACGAGATCAAACGTTGTTATTAACTTTCGCGCGTGAAAAAAACAACAATGTGTTCTCCAACATCGAATAGGAATCGGAAGAATGCGTTTATCGCGTCGTAATGCTGCTGTGATATTCAAATGTACGACGAGGCAAATGTTCGGTTTTGACAACTATTATTGCAACGAAAACCAGTGCAGACGTGACGTATTTATTCGTTGTAAAATGTGCCCGTTTATCAACACGTCTTGTTTACAATGACAATTTAACGTTATCGCCCGTTATTGTTACTCGCATCATTCATTTCGGTCGGTTTTTTAGAAAGTTATTAAAAACGTTTTAATGCACCGCGTACCAATATGTATGTGCGTATTACTGTAATTCGTCTTTTCTCGTATCCGTACCGAGCTCGTTAATAAAACCCGCTTAACTATTTCGTGTGCACCGGTTTCGCATTCACGTCGCTGAACTTTATCGACCGTGTTGTTGTTGTTATACCTCGTTTATCGGGGGTCGACCGAGAACAAGTAGTCGCAGTTGTCCGTGCGTAACAACAATAACGTTTTCATGAAAATATGCTCGGAAATAAAAATGCAAAATGAACCGCGCAACACCCGCGACACGAGTGCGTGACACAAATCCAACGGTATCCAATAAGAAAGTTTTCGGGAAAAAAAAAAAAAAAAAACGAATAAGATTTTGAAACATCTCGGATGTCGCAAGTGTGCACGGAGGCCCGCGGTTGTTCCGTTCGTTCGACCTACCGGGGCTTTCGACGGGCGAGAAATCCAAACGATAATTGCGAACGAGTTACGGCAACACGTATGCGCACGTCGACGGCGCGTTATTACGTGCGCGCGGCTCGTGCGAATCGCAAACTTATAGTCGCCCCCGCGCGCGCACTTACCGGTCGCAACGCGCGTTTTAGCGGCCGTCAAACGTGATAATAATACGGTATTGTTCGAAACACGTACGGCGGACCGGATCACACGTTGTACGCGCGCATCGCGACGACGTGTTACGGGTACACGGTACACGTACCATACGGAATAGGAAACCGTTTGGGCACCGGAACGGACCGTTGAAAATCGATTGATTTACCGTCTGTTTACCGGAGTATGAACTATAGCATACCGGCACCATAACGTTGCGTTTGCATAACGTTGAACCGGGGTCGGGGTTCTGCTCGTTTTCGGCTCTCGCGCGCCGTGCCCAGCAGAGATATGTTCCCGTTCGAAGTTCAAGCAAACTCGATCGTATCCGAAGTCACCGGGAAAACGCGTGTTTCGAAAACGAAATCGCCGTAACCCAAATTCTCGGCTGCGACACTGAACACACCGCCGATCCTATTGTTGTTCACGGTTGCCGAGACCCGTGCGCCTATTATTATTATTATTATTATTATTATTATTATTAATGTGTTATATTATATTAGCAGGCAAAATAATTGCATCGTGGAACGTAATAAAAATCTGATTTCATAATAATATATAATAATATGAACATTATTATGATAATGATGTAATTCGGGCTCGCCCCGTTCGACAATAACGGGCAATAATAATAATTCGACATTAATAGATTGTTTCATAATAATAATAATAATAATAATAATATAGGAACATTATCGCCTTTGATGTTCAGTGGTAGGAGTAGCTGGTAATTTTTAAGTATTTTTTTTTTTTTTTTAATATGAGACATGGCGCAGTCTGATCATTTTTTTTTTTTTTACATACCCGTGTCTCCGTAATGCGTCGGTATTACGTGTTTTTACTGCTAACATTAATATTATATTATATTAGCTACCGAGAACTGAATCGTTTTTTATTTTGGTTTTATTTTTATTGCGGCTTTGTGTTAATATTCTCTTTGAAAATTTCATCAGTGCTCGTTATGCATCTACGTCACGACGTGTTTATTTTCGTTTCCAATTTGTCGTAGGAGGGTTGCGATACATCGATTATGTATTATTGTTATTAATTTACAGCTAACGGGTCGTTGTAATCGATTTTTTTCATTTTTAAAAATAGCACACATACAAAATTGTTCAGTACACTACATATTATAGGTTACGAAATTATACTTATCGACGCGTACACACGATACATCAACGCGGGTGTATACCGTCTGCATTGGTTTTCGTACCGATCGTCGATAGCATTACAATATGCATATATTCCACGGTGCGTACGATCTTCGTCTGAAAACGCAATCGTTATGTGAAATCATCGTCATCTGCAATGTTACGTAAAAGATATTTTACGAATAAAATGTGATTTGAAAGTTACGTATACATGTTATGTTCAATTTCATACACTAGCACGTACACCAATGTACTTGTTTACTTTTGTCGCGTTTGTCCGGTGAAACATATGTTAACTTATGTCCGGTGAAACATAGCACTGCAACATGCGTGTACTTGCACGGACGACGGCGTTCTAGACGTATAAATATATATGGTCAACAACTGTGGTGCCAACGGTAATGTTTTCGTATGAATAAGATCAATCGGATTCTGTACCGGCCGTAAAAGAATCGCTGATGAAAATTCGAGCCGAAAACATTAAGTGTTTAATAATACTATTGTCCGTACAGTATAATATACAATATAAACGTTTGTACAGAGTGCGAACGTTATGTTTGTATATTGTTCTGGCGATGACGTATAGAAAGTGTAATGCATTCCGGTCTGTCTTTCTAATTAAAAAATATAACTCGAAACTCGTTGAACGGTATGATTGGCACGATCGGTTTAAATAACATTGTTCGTGTCTGAAAGCAGCTAGGACACGCACCCACACACGGTAAATTCCGAATATTAACATTATATATATATATATATATATGTATAGCATGTGATACGGTCTTTCAAAAAAATGGTCGAAGAATTAATAATAAATCAACGGCATTCCAATCGTTAAAATTTCTTTTGGACGGAGATGATAAATGATTGAAAGATTTGAACGGTATATAATGTATATTACTAATATTGTTTCGGTGGAAAAAAAAAAAAAAAATTGAAAGTGAAAGACAGTTAATAAAACATCGTTTAAACGACGGATGAAACAATCCGGTGCGTATTATTACACAGAGTGTAATCGGACCCTTCGCCTTTCGAATGAAAAAATAAAAAAATAAAAAATAAAATACGATTCACATTCGTATACGTGATTATACCTGTACGTAGAACCGCCGGCCGCGCACCCGTGTCCGTACCGTGTACACGTGACTGTACAACGTATTATGTCTGTCGGAGTGGAAAAAGAAGAAGAGGAACAAGAAGAGGAGGAAAATAATAAAGATTAACCGCGAACACATTCCGGACGAAAGTATCATACACGTGAAAAAAAAAAATCAAACGTAATGGTGTATAGGTAGGTAAATCGTTTAGGTAGGGAACCGTGGACATCTCATAGTAGCGGGTGTGAATATCGCGCCCAAGAAGAAAGTGACCAGTTTTCGACAGTCCGCTGGCTGCACAGGTCAAAAACTCTTCCGTGAACAATAATCGCGTTAAACGCACGGCGGTGTTCGGGTCTCGTTGTTTCTTTTCATTTTTTTTTTTTTTTTTATCCCCGGTGTCGTCCAGACACGCGTGTTGTGTTCAACACCAAGTGTACCTGTACCGGTCGTCGGCCAAACGTTTGAACACAACAACATTGGTAGTGCGATATGTTCCGTCTGCATTCGTTTTAAATAAATATTTCGTATAATTTTCTTATATTCTTGTAAGTTATGCGTGCACCAAACGTTTAAGACCAATTCGACAAATCATCGGATCCATCATGTTCGGGCCAAATCTACTGCTGCAAGTAAGTAACGCGAAGAGTGACGATTACGATTTAATTTGACCGGCGGAATAACATGATATTAATGATATTACATCGCGAGCGTTCGGTCGAAATTACAGAGCACCTGCGAGTAATAATATTATTGCTGTGAACGGAGTAAATTTCGTTTTTTTTTTTGTTAACCCATCCAAAACGTTAACTTAAACCGGTACAATCGTCTGTCGATTGAATTAAAAGTTGTGGCGGAAAACGGTACGTCCTCAAAAACGCATTAATCGGCATTTCAAACAACGTTCCCATCTTGTAAACTGTACACGATTTCACTTGTTTTTTCAAACTTTATAGAAGATTAATTGTTAACATAGCTTGTAGTCAGTAGGGACAGGATCTCCACAACTAGAACATTTCAACGAACCGACGGAGAAAACATCTTCGAATTGTTTGCATTTTGATAACTCGAGATTGTATAAAATATGCGACGCATACTATTTTTTTTCCACAAAAATTTTACTGAGATATTCTGTGTACATTAAATTTTGTAATACAGTACATTATTTTCACGTCGATGTTCAGAATTAAATCATAACATATTAATAAAATAATTAACATTTAACATCGCATTTACATTTAATGGCTTGAATATGATAATTTTTCGATTTTTTTACAACTTTCTTTTGTGCTCCGCCGAGATTGAACGAGATTCCACTGTTTTATATTGTATTTTTTTATCTGATACATTGTATTCATGCATATTTTATTCATACGAGATTATGAGATATTTATTTATAAACATATGAGAACTTCTTGAAAAATTCGAGTTTGGGACCATAAAAATTTTGATATCTATCAATCAGATAATCAAATATTTTAATGACTCGTTTAATATTACTTGTAAGATGTACGTAATTGTTACTAACAATCTTATAGCAAACGCTTTCGTGTGAAAATAAAAGTTATTGTGACATTGTGTATAATTTACTGCGAATAATATATTATATAATTTGTTGATACATTTCTCCAGAGTAATTTTTACAATATGTAATTGATTTGTTAACATTACAGAACCTCTTGGAAATTTTCCAATTTCGAACTTAATAATATTGATACGTGCTGGATTGAGAACGTTGGGCAACGTATTATTTTATTCGATGATGTACCTATATGTAAATTTGCAGAGTAAAAATGTGAATAGAAATTTCATTTATGAATTAACTTTAATCCTATGAAAATAAATCAAATGCAATATTGTATAATACGGTCGAAATATTCATGAAGATATGTACCAGTTGAATTACTTCCGAAGTTGATGGTTTCATGAGATAACAATTATTATAAAAAAGAAACTTCACAATAGGTCATGAATTATTTAATTTATAAAGTATATCCAATATTCTCTTTGATAATTTTTAACTGTTTAGAAACTTTTCTCATGTTAGGATAAATGCGAGTAAAGGTAATTATACTTGTTGCTTAATATCACGGTGAATTGAGTGAATTTAATTATAAAGTTATTTAATTTTATCTGTAGGCAGTTATGAATAAAGTTATTTTTGCACATTTCATAGCTGTTCATAGACCACCACATGCGTTTCATCGTAGTGGAAATAAATAAGTTGGAGATAATTTGTATGCCGGGGAAACTTCGTGAGATTGAAAAATAAAAAATCCGTTCAAACAAATTACCTATACTAAATATTATCAATTAACATTTTTAACTAACAAGTGATGGAACAATAGTCGATCACAATCGATTCATTTCAAATAAAATCAATAGAATTATTTTCCTTTCATGGTCTTATAACATTTTAGTATTCAAATAATTAAAAAAAAGGAAAAAATACTGATAATTATACACGGTATTTTTTTTTTTTTAAAAAAAAAATTCTTACTGTTTATATTTTTCGTTTCGTTCGATTGTTAACATGTCCAGTGTTGGGTGGGTAAATTTGACATCATCGAAATTACACCATCACGACAATACGGGAAACGCACGGTGTACTCCACGTAAGTGATGTCAGAGATATTTTCCAGAACTTCAAACGATTCGACCATTGTTAATTTGAGTTGTAAAGAATTCGCACGGTTTTCTCTCATTGTCTTTTTGCTTGCTTATTTTTATTTTCAACAATTTTTCCTCTCCGTTCACATTGTATAATAATACGGATCGCCATTGTTCGAGGCGCTAGGTCTTCTCCCTCGTTACTGCGGCTACCGCATCGGATAATCTTCCAGCCGGCGGCGGAACAACGCCGGTTGAAATGTCCGCAATTAGCGTTACGCAATTAACTGCCGCGGTCCGTCGACGTTGCTCGCGGTGACCACAAAAACGTCTACCGGCCGACCGTTGCGCAATGCGTTTGTTTTCTTTTTTTTTTTTCTCATCGTCTTGTCCCTGTGTGTCCACCAGGTGTGCCTGCTGATCGGGTTGACGGCTAACGGCGCGTTGGCCCTGAACAACAACAACGTCGACCGGACGCGGCTGCAGACGGCCGTCGGGCCCGCGCCGAAACCTCGTCAAAAGCACTCCGCGTGGGGAGGCCACGACTCGCGACTGCAGCAGCCCTGGAGGCACCACAACGACAAGTCACTAGCACCGGCGGTGCCACCGTACGCCGTCAAGATGGAACCGGTGGTCCATTACTCGGAACAGGACCCGCTGTACTCGGGCCCGGCGAACGCGTCCGCGAAAATCGACTACGGCGGCCACGTGCCCGCCGCCGCCGCCGCCGACCTGGGCGTTGACTACGGTGCGCCCGTCCCTGGGCCGTACGGTGCCCCGTACCAGTCGGACTACTACAAGGAACCGGAACCGATCATCGAGATCATCATCAAGGAGTCCAACGAGTCGCTGCCGGCACCGCCGGCGCCGCCGACGCCCGCGCCCGTGCCGCGACCGCCGAAGGAACCGGTCCAGGTGTTCTACGTCAAGTACAAGAAGAATCCCAACTCTTACGGCGACAAGGAGGACATCATCTACGAGCGTCCGGTGCCCGCGCTCACGCCCAGCACCGAGGAGGTCGGTGAATCCGAAACGGTGTACTCCACGGAACCGTCGCCGCCCCTTTACAACAGTTACGTGACCGGGCCACCGGCGCCCAGCACCACGTTCAGGACGATCATAAAACCCGACTCCGAGGTGTACCACGGCACCGGGCTGAAAGTCACGTTCGGCAAGTCGGAGGAGAGCTGGAGCCCGTCGCTGAACGAAGCGCAGAAGCGAGACTCCGTTAGCGAGGCCAGTAACCATCAGAACAAAGTGAAAAAACACACCGACCAAGAGTACAAGCGAAGCTTTGTTCAACCCTCCCCGCAGCCGACGGACTATCAACGAAATATCAACAATTTCGAAGCTCCGCCGATCAACAATCAACCTCAGTTCAACGGCTTTAGCACTCCGAACCCGAACAATGAACTTTTGCCGCAGCAGCAGTTTAGGAAACCAAATCAACAGGTTCAAAACTATTTCCGAGAAGACAGTCCTCGTCCGAATTTCCAAGGCCAAATACCTATACTGAATCAACAATTGAAATCTCAACAAAATCATTTCGAAGGGGCTGTCGAACAAAGACCGTTAGAGTTTAAAGACGGTTTTCGTAACCAACCGTTCGCTAATCAGCCGAATTATCAACAATTCAATAACCAACCGAACATTCATCAACAATTCACCAATCAACCGTCGCACCAACAGCCATTCAATAACCAACCAAACCATCAACAGTTGACCAATCAGCAAAATCATCAACAGTTAAACAGCCAACAGTTCAACAATCCGCAGTTCAATAACCAACAGAGTCATCAACAGTTTAACAGTCCACAGAACCACCAGCATTTGAACAACCAACCGAATCATCAGCAATTCAACAACCAACAATTCGGTAACCAACCGAGACAACCGGAATTCCAGTCGAGTGCTCCGCCGAGAAACCCGGGCAATTTCCAGGAAAGGCCGGCGCAGATCAAACTGAATGGCGAAAGGCCGTTTTCGAACAAACCGTTCGAAACCCGTCTGCCGCAGAGCAAACCGTTCGAAAACCGACCGCCGCTGGACCGGCCTTTCGACAGCAGGCCGTTCGAGAGCCGCCCGGTTCCGGACAGACCGTTCGAAAGTCGGCCGGTGCACGACAACAGGCCTTTCGACAACCGCGGGCCGGTCCTCGGCAGACCCGTCGAAAACCGTCCCGTACACGACAGACCGTTGTTCGACAACAGGCAAAACCAAGGTCCGATTAACTACAGCAACTACAGGCCCAATAAGCCTCCGCCGCCGCAGAACATACCGTTGAACCCGAACCCGTCGTTCGTGCCAAGCGACAGACGACCGACCGTCCCACCACCGCAACTCCCGTCCAACTACAACACTCTGCCGATCAGTACGAAACATACGCTTGATTTGGCGTTCCCTTCGCAACAGCAGCAGCAACAACAACACCACCACCACCAACAACAACAACAACAACAACAACAACAACAACAACAACAACAACAGCAGCAGCAGCAGCAGCAGCAACAACAACAGCAACAACAACAGCACCAACAACAGTTCCAACAACCGTTCCAACAACAGTACAGGCCCGCGGAATCGCGTCCACTCATCAACATCCCGACGTTCCACCAACAGTCTATCAAACAGCAGTTCACTGCAGACGTGAAACCTACGATTTCGCAATACCAACAGCAAACGGTGAAACAACAGCCGTTCGTCCCCGAATTGAAACCGTCTCAAATTCCGCAGATCCAAATCACTCCGTCAAACGGTTTCAAACTCGAACCCAATCTGCATCAGCAACCAGCGCAGTCCGGCCAGTTCGTCGAGACGTTCACCAGGTACCAGCCGACGCAAACGGAACAAAACTTCCGTACCGACGAAACCCCTTGGCAAGTATCCACCCAACAGGGTTTGTTCAACCTCCGGTCGCAGGATTACAAAGAGCATATAAGCGCGAGTACGATTCAAAACGCAATCGACACGACGAGCAAATCTGCTCTGAGAACGACTGAAAAACCCGCGACGTTTTCGACGTCTCAGTACAAAGAGCGCAGCACTACCACACCGACTTCGACGGCGGTCCCTTTCAAGCCAACCACCACCGAAGCGGCTAAGAACGAGACCAAAAAGACAGATTTCAAAAACATCGCGTCCCTCCCGGACGAGGTACCCGACGAGTTAAGGGAACAACTCCTTTCCTCTGGAATTCTAAGCAACGCCGACATTCAAATATTAGACTATGATAAAGTAGGCGATATACCAATTGAAAGTTTACCTCCCGAAGCTTTGGAAAATCTATACGGTCAAGGCAGCGATCCAGTACCGTCGGTAGTTCTACCGCCGAACAAAGCTGATGTTCAGATGAAAATCATCAAGTACGACCCTACGACGGAAGAAGGGAAAAAAATCGAAGAAAAGTACACTAACAGACCCAAGTCTCAGACTCTTGACCCGGTCGCTTTGAACGACACGGGATATAATAGATTTTTACCACTGGACATTAACGGCACTCATTTCCCGATACCGGATTCACCGTTACTCAAAAACAAAGCCATCGGAAGTGTAGTGATACTATCACCTGTAGGATACGATCTGTCCGATGATCAGTCCCGTTCGTCCAGGAATACCGCGGTTAAAGTGAAAGGAGTGCATTTCGTTGTTGGCAATATTGTAAAAAATTTAGTCAAAAATCCAAGTAAAGAAAATTTTGAAACCTGGTTGAAGATAGAAAAAAATACACCTTCAGATGAACAGTCTGTTGTGCTTTTGGTCACTAAGTAAGTTAACTAACCTATAAATTAAACAAACATTTATTTATAAAAAAAAAAAAATAAACACCTACCACCATACGAGTTAAAATTAAATTAAATATTATTTTTTTTTCGATACATATAAAAAATATACTACGAGTACAATGCATATCATAATGACACATAAACGAACAAAATAATAATAATAATTATAATTTACAACTAGTTTCATCAATTGTCTTTGTTGACAAATTCACTTGTCCTAACTTCAATGTCCTAATAAACAAATCAATCCCGTAATTAATAGGATTTTAATTGTTTTTCGTTTTAAATTATTAAATTGTAAACGAATTATACCAGATGAAACACACGATGATGTATAGTTACATAAATTAAATAAAACATGACACGAACCTTAAACCAAATTAGTTACTAATATATTCAACGACAATTTTTCCAGGCCGAGTGATAAGGAAATCGAAAAAGAAATTTTTATGTACGACGTGACACATAATAAGGTCAGCAAATTGTCCGGTGAATTAAGTATGACTTTCGTGAACGTGGCCGAGTCGAACTCGCAGAGTCACGATTTGGATAACCTATCGTCCGAAGAGGAGATGGATGTCGCAGTATCTGGAAATAGCACCAGCGATGAAACTCCTATCGTATCCGGTTACAGCAAGACGAACAACTCCTCGGACTCAATTGTTGCCACTGCCAATAATTAGACTGATCTGTTAAACGTGTTATTCTTAAAGTTTAATTTAAACTTGTATACTTTTTTTTATTATTATTACATTCCCCAACCCACATTAAAAAAAGTTTAATTATTCGTCAAGTGGTATTCGTATACTTTTAAACGTCATTATGAATCTATATGAAATCGTACGGTTAAAATAATATTATATTGATGATACACATTTAAATATAAATATAATACAACGAATTTTAGTGTCTAGTGTACTTTTAGTGTACTTGTATATTTGAAATTTCATGTTGAAAATGGTTTTACATAATTGTATACTAATGTTTGGAATTCAAAAATGTGTGTACATAAAATAATTATCTTTACATAATATATAAAACTGTATTAAAATTATAATATAAAAATTGTGATTATAGGTATTTATGTAATTCATTTTGCGTTGATACATTCCGCGTGTACCCGTACATCCCGATGCGTAAATTAAAAATTGCGAATCGATGTAGCCACAGTAAAAAATAAATCGAAATCGAAAAATTAAAACATAAATGAGAAATACTTTTAAGTAAACAGCGAGCCGATAGGATGAATTCCGTCACGTACCTGCTATTCCAACACAATTATGATGAAAATAAAATAATAAAACTAATAGAGATCAAAAAATCTTATTGTGTAATTTACACGTTATTACGAGTGATCGATTTTTTTTCTTTGTCGTCTACCGAAATGTTCCGCAAAATTATCCATTTCAGGCAAACGCATTGCTGTAATTACGAATTCGACAGTCGAGGAATCCGATTTTAATTTAAATTCAATAACCGAATGTATTATTTTGCGTTTTTCTCGTTCGGTATTTTTTCCGTATTATTTTATCGATCCAACTAGTTTAAAAAAGTGTTCTACGCGTGCTACCGGAATTTCGATTCAACAACATCATTGTTATGAAATACTCGTCATATGTATGTGTACGGATAAGACGCCCGAATGTTTATTCGATTTTTATTATTACTATTATTATTCTATTACATCGCCGTAACACCTTCATTGTCCTTCACCGTACGCTAAGCTTAATAATATTTTACGAGCAAATAAACTAATTCACCAACTCTTTATTTAATGTTTAACCATACCTATTACTCGTATATTATAGCCCATACGCAGCGTGTAAATACCACTTGCTGGGATAATCTAATTTTATAGCGTACGCGTACTAACATAAAGCTTGGATACAAAAATACGCGCACACACATCGATATTTATATTATATGAGAGCGTATGGGTAATACAATTACATCGCAAACGTGATGCCATTTAAACGCGCGTTAGGTTAAAAGTTCAAAAAGAAAGTAACGGTTCAGGTAATATAATATCTATTATAGGCACGCGTATACGTATAGTTTAAACGGCACGATTGTATTTTAATAAAGATTGACCTAGAAAATTTACAAACCGAATTTTCACCTTGTCCGTCGAAAATGCAGCACACATATCGATGTTAACATCGTGAGAGCTTACGAACTATCGTTTTATTAGCCTCAAAGTAAACATCATATTTCTATTCACGGAACATCTGCATCTCACTCGACCATGGTTCGATAATAATATCGTTACGCGTATACATATATATATATATATATATACATGACTAGTACGTCTGAACTATGAAGTCGTATGTGTATAATGTAAAAATAATGTCTGTCAACATGGTTTTACAGTTATTTATTTCATTTGAACTGTAATAATTGTAGAGCTATTTTTGTCCGTCGGTAAAACAATTTTTAAACAAAATAGTCGAATAACGATCGGGGGGGAAAAAAAAAAAATCAATAAACAGCGAACGCATGTAATAGAAGTTGAAATCACAAGCAGCGGTGGAGAGATGTTATTGATACATTTGAAAATCATAATTCGCGTTGGCATAGTTTCACTGGGAAAAAAAACCAACGTCATTATACGTATTTACCGAACAATACAATTAAAATGATACGTTTTGATGTTTCTTGCTAATTTTTGCGTTATATATTGTTTTCGAAATTCCTATAATTTCACATTTTTGTCGTTACCGTCGAAACGAACCCCAGAGCAACTATCGTATTTTTATTCCATTCATCCCGTTTTCAAATACGTTTATGTGTACCGTTTAGGCCGAACAGTTGCGATTATGTTAAACGAGACGACGTTTAAAATAATTATTGTTGCAGACGTTTTTTTTCTAATCACGGAGCCTGTGCAAAAAAAAAAAAATAAATAATTAATATCACCAAAAGCGTTATTCGTATTTCATGTGCACGTGAACGGGGAATGGGTTCGCCGAAGTTGTACCATTTCAGTTGGAAATAAACCTTGAACCGTCGAATGTCGTATACGTCCGTGACGCAAAATCAAAATCATTTCGGGTTGATAGTGTTCACCGTTAGCGCGAACACGGCGACGGCAATCATTTGCAAATCACTCGGTCGTGCACTCGATATAACTGGTGAAAACACGCGATGGCGTGCCGATGGTAGGATTTTTTTTTTTTATTTTCTCTCTCACTCGTAGGCGCACAATTTCGTAAACTATCGGAGGTGGACGGCTGAGTACTCGTTTATACGTATGGCGTATAACAGTACTTTTAAAAATGTACACCACAACGCGTCACGGAGGTATTCGTTACGCGCAGGGCCGGATTAACCTAGGTGCAAAAGGAGCATTTGCTCCGGGGCGGCAAATTTAGTGGGGCGGCATGAATAAAATAGCCTCATAAAAATTATTTAAGATCGTCATTAATACAAGAAAAAATGTCCAACTTATCAATTTTATGCACAGAATCTGATTTGATTGAGGAAATGAAGTGAGAAGAACTAATATGAAAAACATAAAAACTTGTAACTATTAAATATTATAATTGTATTTTGTCAATATTTTCTGTTTAAAAAAATTCTTTGCAAAACTATTCTGTGACATTAATCATATACCTAATTATACTTTTTAGTTTAAGTCAGGGGCTTATTTAGGGGTGTGATATGGGTGTTAGAACACCCACCCACCCCCTAATTACTTACAGCGTAATTTGAAGAAACGTTGTATACAACTTGTAGATTTTACTTATACACTCTTAATATAATCGTTTTCATTTATATAATAATTTATATAAATACATGGTATTCATTTAATGTAATACGGGAAGGGGAGAGCCCCCACTTATCATAAGTCTATTCAATTTTAAAACACCCCCGTTAAATGAATCCTGGGTACGCCACTGGTTTATGTAGATTAATTATTATATTTAACTTATATTTTATAATAGTATTTTATTTTTTTAATTAATACATAAAAACCAGGATTTTTTTTTTTAGTTTCACTTAACCTTATTTTTTTGAGGTGGAGAGGGCAACATTGTTTGCTCCAGGGCGGTATTGGCTCTTAATCCAGCACTGGTTACGCGGGTAAACGCTATCGATGGTCGGTAAGACCCGAAGGAACCGATGGCGGAAATTGAACTCGGCATGCGATCCCCCGAACGCACGAAATCGGGTCTACGATCACATCGGCAGCGTTCAAGTGGATATTTTTACCGAACGCGCGAGTTGACTCGGCCCCCGCGAATCGATACAGACCCACGATCAAGGGTGCAGTTAGATATTGAATTCATGGGGTCGAGGGGGAGTTGATATGTTTACATATCGATTATTTCGATTAACGCTTTCATTTGTTTGCTGATTGACCGGGATTTCGACAACGGGACAGTTTGAACCCCGAGAACTCTCCTCCTCCCTTATGTGTGCCACTGGACCCTAACAATACCAATCGGACTGTATGTTATGTCTTCGCAATGTTTACTATACAGTACCTCTGCGGCGCGTACGTCTACGTGCGATTTTTATTGATTATTGTTCTACTCATATATTTGTTCTACAGTTCTAACGGTGTTAAATAATAGTTACTACGTTTCGGAATTGATTATGAGTATTATTTTTCAAACGATCACTTTTTCCGCGTTGTATTAACGTGTTTAAGAGACGTTTTATTTCAATGATTTCAATCCATTGAATTGTGTACTCCACGATCGCATGTATAGTTATTAGTGAACCATATGCGTTGAAAATCAACACATTTATTGTTTTATGGCCAATGTATTATATTCAAAACATTTAACTTGACGTTTCGTTTGCCTATACTTGGTCGAACCCGTGAGATGGAAAATATTATGTTTACTACAAAAAAATCAGTAACATGACCTATAAATTATTCGTTTTACGAATTTTCGGTGTACAATTTTTTTTAAACGATAGATTTTTTTTTTTTTTATTTCAAATACTATTGCGTAGTGTTTAGTTGTTTTTTAGTAAATTTAAATTTTCTGTTTTATAAATATACCATATCGGACCAGTAAAATTATACCGTAAGCTACGCTATAATAATTGTTGTTTAATAAACAATCTACCTCGATAATTTTTTGTACGATTCCAATGGATACGATTTCATCCGGCTAGTCCGTCCATAAATGTATATTATTGTTTCCCCCCGTGGTTGTACACAATTATCATCATTCCGTGATCAGTTGTCGGTAAAAATGGGAAGCATCCGGTGGGACGTACCGTTGAGTTACAGTAAAACCACGGTTCCGCTACTCCGGATTTGAATCGATAATCTATCGGGCAGTGAACGCAAATTTAGTATAAACGGTGGTAATTATTCGACATTGTTTCTACGCACTTTTCCCGCGACCGTTAAAAACATTCTGTGCATTTCTTGTCCGCGTAGTAAAAATATTCTGCATCATAAAATTCCGAAGCGCACGTTTCGTACGCGGTAAACGACACCGGACCCGTTGAGTGGCGTTTTTTATTCACCTCGGAGTGACCTATATAAATGGGTTTATTGTTCGTGGGACGCGCGAAACGTATTGCCGCGGCGAGTAATTAATAATAGTTTCAAACGCGAAACGTTAAACAAATAATAACAATCCGGTGGATTCATATAACGAGATCTGCCGTTCTCAACGTACGATTTTCCCATGTTATTCCCACGTAGATAAATATGGTTACATGTCCGCCGCACAAATGGAAGTCGCGGGTTAGCTTATACCTACAATACTTTCTAATAAAACACACGGTTCAAAAGTTATACGGATTCCGTGTTGCACTTGGTCTGTATGCGAAACAACGATGCGAACGCGAACGGTTGCATTAAATACGAATGTTTTAGGTACAAGCGATGTAAAAATAAAATTATCCATACCTACAATTAACGCTGGTTTTACCGTCCGGCGTGACTTTCAATATCGTGGTTGCAGAACGTTGCAATTGCAGTGTTTTCGCATTGTTTTCGGTCATCATTTACTTCGATGCGGTCGCTTCGTTGACGTATTTCGACCGAATCTTCTAGTTCTCATGATTTACACCGCACGTCTGTTCTCCAGAAATAGAGCACACAAATATTTGTGACCACGTGTCGTATACGTGAAATATCACTCGAAACCCGTTCGATTCGATCATCAGCGATGTATTGTGCAGCGCGTGCGTGATTATCAAATCAGTTGCATTTCATTTTAGACCCATAAATTACGTACGTACAAAAACGACGGGAAGTTATGTGACAGCGCTTTTCCCAATGCCTATTTATATAATAATATTTATTTATGTATAATATTATGTACGATTTAAGATTCATAAACTGCTTTACGGACGTAAGAAGGTATATACCGAGTGCGATATGCGTTTTCGAAAGCGAAGTTAATTCGCGTAGGTATATATTATTATTGTTATTATTATTACTATCGATTTTTGCGTTGAGAAAAAATAAAGTATATAGGTATTTATCGGATTCGAGTATAATTATAATAATTTTTAATACGTATAATTTATACGACGTTGAATGCGACTTATCGAATGGGGAAAATAAAAACGAAAAAATAAAAGAAAAGGGAAAATCGAACGCAAATCACGATCCGTGTACACCATTCGTACTGCCACGAGGGTATAGTATCTTATGATAATTAATAGTGTTGAAATATAATCCACCCGGCGGACACGAGGCGGTATTAGGACCGTAAGAAAAAAACACCGTAAATAAATAGATAGGACGAAATAATCGCGTTTTGACACGTTAATGTCGCCGTCTTCGAGACCATGCGAATGTTGACAACGTGTCAACCGAGACGTTTCCTGTGCCGGACTTTCCGGCCGATAAGTATAATATAATATATAAACACGACAAAGGGTATGATAATTCATCGTACGTAGTCGCGATAAAATTGAAACGCTCTACGTCCGTCTCAGAACCTTAAGTCGGGTGATCATATTGTTTTCCTAAAGCCAATATGTCAGTAAAATATGTATTGCCCGCACCATAATATTTAATAATTCGCTCGTATTTAGAAAACCGTTCCTACATAACCCTATATGGTGATTCGGTATTGTCATATTATTTAAGCAGTAGTACTCCAAGGTAGCGACCTTTCTCCCAACATTCCTAAAACAGCGAACACTATTATGGTCACTTATGTAGACGATACAGTAATTCTTTCACCTGAAAATAATCCTGTGGAAACCTCTAATTCTTTACAAACACATTTAGATATAATTTATGAATGGTTATCTAATTGAAAAATAAAAATTAACCCAGATAAATCTTTGTCTATGTCCCATTCACATTAAAAAAAACTCTCCAATTCCAATATCTTCAGAAGTAAAATATTTTTGTGTCATTCTTGATGAAAGATTGACTTGGAGTCCTCACATCGAATCTAAAAGGAAAATCCTCAATAGTAAACTGTAAACCTATTTGGACCTATGTAATTCTAATTGAGGATGTGCAAGGCCATCTCAAATTTGTACCTTGCAAACCTTCTAATCCATCGCACTCCGTACTATATCTTTTGCACCATGATATGTTTTCAATTCCACACTTTAAAACGATATCATAATAGAAACAGCCAGTCAATTAGCTACAAAACATTGAAAAAAAATTTCACTCTAAATTACAGAGTCTGTCTAATACTTCAATCGCTGAAATTGCATCCAATTTACCTCCTGACGACAGAAAAAATGATGCCAGGAATTATTAAACGATTAACAATGATTGACAATATATTAACTAGTGATAATAAATATTTGGAAAAAAAAGTTTAAAATAAAGTAGGGTTAAAAAAAATTTAATTAACGTTTGGTTCTGATACACTGGATGGCCTCCCTCCTCACGTATTTCATTGTTGTGTTGTTTTATTTGTCAAACATAGACTGTAAATATTATTTTTAATAAAATTCGGACCCAGAGTCAAAAAAAAAGACGTACGCGTACACATAGCTTCGAAACATTTCAGAATCCATCAATCTGCATGATTTTGGATTAGCTGGATCGGATCGAAAAAATTAAGGTTTACGGATGCAAAAGATACGTCACGTAAAACACAGTAAAAATAATTAAAAATATTTAATCCATTTATCGAATTAATTTTAGGTATTCGCAAATAAATGTTACATTCTTAAAAGTAATTGTGTATCCTTGTACGATACTGAAGTTGGTGACCCGCAGCACCATATTTTACAAACTATTTGTGTGAACCTAAATTGTTTTGTACATTAATTGTAATAATTGGTTTCAAATAACAAACAGATTGTTAACGACTCATTTAAATAATAATTACAATAATAATAAGACAAAAACCTCGTTTGGTGAGTTCGTATGGGTTATTTTTCAATTATCTCGCAACGTTAGACGGATCGGAGTCGATCATCAGAGTCTCACCAGACATCGTTCGAGTGAGCACGTCACGCCCCCTACCCCCGCAAGACCACCGTCTTTCGTGCCAAATTCACTCGCCGTCGCACGTTCACTTCTCTTTCACAGCAAAGAGCTGAATCGGCGGTCACGTGTAGCGCACGCACTTCAATGAAGTTTCTCCTTAAAACGGCAAGATTAGATGACAAAACATACGTACGCCGTAGATCGGTATGAACGTACACGTCCAGGTGAAAAAAAAATCCAGTCAAAACAAAGCGCGTTAGACGCGTACGACTGCGATCAGCGAGTGAGTGCTGCTCAAGAACGGGTAAGCGAAACGTTAGGTTTTCGGAATTCGTTAACGAGCTTTTGGCGTTTAAAAGATGGTTTTCCGTGATAAAAACGAATTGACTGCTCTCGTGCAGGCCGTTTCATAATCTGCGCGGGACTCGACGGTGCAAATATGAAAGGGGGAGGATTGCAGGGTCCTGGGTCGCTGTAAAAAGTGTTCATGGCTTGGAGAAAATATTTGGGTCCACTGAAATAGCACACGCGCGTTTCCAATTTCCACGGGCCTCGCAAGACGATACTAATATTTTATTTTTTTCCCCGTCCACGGAAGGTTTATTTATTTTTTTTTTTTTAACAAACAAGGCACACAGGGACTCGAGAGCGAAATATTTTCCCCGTACGCTTGATTGGCCTGCGTAAGTATGACGAAATTGTTCTCGGATCGTATTCACTCGAGAATCGCATCTGTTCATTTCTTGGACGAAACGAGTACGGCCAAAAACCCACGGTAATGTTTTCAGTTTTAACCTTCACCCGGTGGGGGGACGTAAAGGTCCTAAATTCCTTCCCCCCGCACCCACTCAACCCGGGGGATAACGTTTACCTCTTGGTTGGGCCGAAGCCGAAAACATCTCATACGCGGACGAAAAGAGCCACTGCCACCTCCCCGCGGAAACGAGCGCACGATAATTTTTACAGTACTCCCGCACGGTAATTACGGTACTCGCGCGCACGGTATTACCGGGCTATCTCACCCGGCCGCCGCCGCCGCCCGTAGCATGGCGGAGCGATGCGCGCGGGGGATCTCATCGATGACTCGTGCACATGACCCGTGCGAAATCGCAAACATGGCGGACACCATTGTTTTGATTTTACCACACTAATTGTATTATTTTGTTTGGTTTTTTTTTTGTTTTGTTATCTTTGTTATTTTTTCTCTTCTATTTCACTCCGCTACGCTTTTTTACCAGACGCGTACGATGCGCAGCCCGCTCGATTCTTCCGTACCGTCGGCCGCGTTTCCTGTCGATCTCTAACGCCGTCGACGCCGCCACCGTCGCCGTTTCCGCAGCTTTCCCGTCCGCGTTACACGTCTGCGTATTGTCGTCATCGCCGTCGACTTTGACACCGCGGATCACGACTGCACGACGATGTGAGCACACTGGTCCGGGGCAGCTGTAAACTTCTCGCAGTTCACGGAAATACCGGTGAGTCCCTTATCACATGTAAACGACAAGGATCAAAAAATGGTCGTCGAAACTTCTATGAATCTTCCACGCTTTCATGCCCTATGACCACGGCTCACCCGATTCGAATGCCCCCCTGTTTCGGCTTCCGCAATCAGCTTTCTAATGTGTAAAACTGCTAGTGTACTCTAAGTAGATACCACTTGCAACGGTTCTAGCATTAGCAGCGTCGAACCTCAGTATTGGACAGTATGTAATTAATACCTCATTATTTATTATCCAATATTGGACCGCTTTATGTTTTGAATTTTACATCCTGGGTAAATTTTACTAGGGTTTGGTGAACGTTGCACATATGTTTGTGCATACCAAAACCATTACTGAGTTTGCCCAGTAGCCAAATAAATTATAATTTAATATTATTCTTGAACTTCATATATTTTCAAGTTAATTAAGCACATAGTTTGTTTACAGTAAATCTAGTTTTACATAAATATTTTATCATAATATATGGTTATTATCATTTTTTATTAGGCATTATGAACAATAAGGTTTTAATGCATTATTAAATGTTTTTGTTCAATAACTTTTCCAGAAAAAAAACAACCTTAACAAGTATTATTAAATAGATAACACTTCATACATTAATATCTATTAAACTGTGAACTTCTAACCATATTAATGAATATTTATTTAAAAAGGTATAATTGTACCAATTTTTTTTTTTTTTTTTTTTGTTAAAATTGTGTATTTAATTCTAACTTTTATTCTGCTATTTGAATAACCTAATATTAAATTTTTTATATATTCTACGATAAAAAAAATATTAATGCAATGACATCTGTACTATTTTTGACTTGGCTCATAGTCATTTACAAATTCTTTAACCATCGTTTTTTTTGTGACTGATTTCAAACTGTTTATCTTTAGTTAAACTTTAATTTGATTAACAAAGTAGTTGGTATACATTTCAAAAGTTAGATGACAGTTTTCTATAGTTATTAAGCTGCAATATTATTTTTAATCAGTTAATATTAGTATCCATAAATTGATACAAATAGATTGAATATTATTTAGTCGAGTGTAAATTTAGTTTATAAACTACAATAAAATATTAATTAGAATAACATTTTATGCTATTAGTCTATTAATAAATTATTTGTTTTATGAATAGGCGTAAAAGATGGATCATAATCAAAGCCATCATCCATCTGCGGTGAAAAAACGTTCCATTGATGATATCATAAATAATATAACATCAGATCTTCAGAGTTATGAAGGTCGATATATGGTGCTGGGCAATCCAAGGCAATCGACTGATATTATGTGGCATCAAGTGAATAACTATGCAAATCCACAGCCCCAACATAACATTTATAATCCAGAACCAATGAATTTAACAAACAACCCATATATTTTAAACTCTAATCAGTATACTCCATTTATGCAACCTCAAAATCCAATACCTGGATATGTAAACTATGATCATCATCAACAAGTATACCCTCAACATCATCATCCTATACATCATCATCAACAACAGCAACAACAGGGACCCCAAATCCAACAAACATCTCAGCAGCAACAACAACAAATGAACTATAATTATTACCAACAATCACAATATACTTCTCATCCAATGCCATATCGTAGTCAAATACATGGTCTTTTTGATCCACCTTCTAATGATGCTATCATTGAAAACCTTGTTCAAAATTGGAATCGTCAAACTCAAAACAACACTGCTGGAATATTTAGCCCCTTTGGAAGTCAAACATTTCCGACAGCAAGAGAAATGATTCCTGAATGCGATATTAATATTCATAATCATAATCAGATGTCTAATCATAATAGTATTGTTGCGCCTGTTAAGAAGGTTCGAATGATTGCTGAAGTCCGACCAATGCGACCTAGTTATTCTGATGTTTTAGCTAAGTCGCCTGCTATAGGTCCAGTAAAAAAAACTGCAGCTAGTACACAAGTTGAAACTCCTTCAGACGTAAAAATTAAATCTAAAGTGAAAACATCTATGAAAAAAAAGAAAAATTCTGGCAAGTTAAGTAAAGGAGAATCTGGTTTAAAAAGACAAAATTCATCTGCAAGTAGTGAAGAGCGTAATACTCCTACTATAGAATATAAAGAGGATAAAAAGTTTGAAGTAACATTCAATGGTAATGAAAAAGTGTGGACATCATCAGAAGACTTGAATGGATCAGAATATTATGAAGCTGATGAGAACGCTTATAATAATATTTTAGTGCCAAAATCTAAAGAAAGTAATAAAAAGGACAAAACCAAAATAAAACCTAAAATTTCTTCTGTATTAAAAAGTTTTGGTAAAAACATATCATTAATTGTATTTATTATGTTGAGTCTAGTAAAATAATTATATATATATACATATATATATTATAGGTCAAACTGTAAAGCCTCATAAAGATGATGTTGAAAAACACAAACCCAAGAAAAGTATTCAATCAAGTTGTGTGATAAGTGGAGTCAAAAAAGAAAAATTAAATAATGAGTCTAAGAAGCATGTTGAATCAATTAGTGAGTTATTAATATTTAAAATTGTCTGATTCGACAATTTTATTTAAAATCATTTGCCAATAGATATTAATTCAACAACATTTGATGAGATTGAGAAACCTTCGGTTAAAATATCTTCAAATGTATCCCAATCACAACAAACTGCAGCAGCACCAGCTAGTAAAAATCAGGGTTCACGTAGTACTGTTACATTTACAGCACTGCCATTTAAAGCAAGGTATCAACGAGTGACTAAAAAACGACCACGTAGCTCTGCCATTAATACAATGAGTTGGTTCAATTAAATATATTTAGAAATAGATTATTGTTAGTTATTGCTATAAAAATTAATTGTTTATACATTTTTTTTCAGTAACAAAACATTTTAACTATTTAAAAGCTCAGTTTGTTCAATATGCTCCTTTGATGGTTTTTTGGTTTGTTCATCTTTTATGGGATGTTATCACCATGAGTATACATTTATTTTTACATTTGTAAGTTTATTTTATTATTTAAATAATGATAAAAGTGTATTGGCTAATATTTTCAACAAACATTATTTACTTTAAAGATCAGCATCGGGTATGACTCAACTGGTTGATTTTGCGAAGAAGTGTTGGATTCATTTTTGGATTGGATTGAGTTCTCCATTTACTGGTGCTTCACATTGGGCTAAAGTCAGATGGAAAGATTCAAACTCTGGTAACACTCTTCAAACAAATATTCCTCTACCAACTACTGGTGAAGAAGCTCTTAAAAGGTTACTAGCTTGTAAAGGAAAAGATCCATACAGGTAATTTAATTCGCTACAATATAGATTACTTCAACTATATTCACTATACAACTAAAGCTCAACATATTGATCAACTATTATATTTTAGTATTTTGGGTTTGACTGTTGATTCATCAGATGATGATATCAAAAAGTATTATAAGAAGCAAGCTGTTCTAGTTCATCCTGACAAAAATAACCAGTCCGGAGCTGAGGAAGCTTTTAAAATATTAATTCACGCTTTCAATATGATTGGTGATCCAGTAAGTTTTTTTAATCATATTATAAATCAAACAAAGTAATGATTAAGTTATATTTTTCATTTAATCAGTTGTTCAATTGATAAAATTGTTATTTTAGGAAAATCGTAAACTCTATGATAGTGGTATTGAGCACATAAAAGAAAACTATGATGAACTTAACAAATTGTTGAAAAATCTTCATGAAAAAATGGCACAAGTTGCGAATACAATCAGGTACTTACTTTATACTTTATATTTATTGACAATATATCAGATTTGGGTGGTTATTTGAGGAATTGTATAATTTATTAATATTTATGATTATTGATTATAATTAAATAGGTATTCTTGTATTCTTTTTAGTATTAAGTGTAAAAGTTTCATAAGACTTCTATACTTATTAGAATACAAAAAACAGTGTTGTGAAACTTGTTTTTTTATGTTAATTTATTATTTGTAATTGTTTGACTATTGTAATTAAATTTCAGTTTGAATATTTGGAATAGTATTTTAAGTTGTTTAAGTTCAATTGAATGTAACTAATCAATGCACATTAATTTTTATTTTTATTTTTAGGTGTACTAGTTGTGGTAAACGGCACAAAAGAAAACTGGTATCAGGTCGTCCAATGTATGCGGCACGTTTCTGTTCACTGTGCAATGTACATCATTCTGCTCGTGATGGTGACATTTGGTCAGAGAGTAGTTTGTTTGGTTTACGCTGGAAGTACTTTGGATGTATGGATGGCGGTGTGTACGACATTACAGAATGGGCCACTTGTCAACATGGTAGTCTGAAGCACATGCGGGCTAATACTCATTCTGTACAGTACAGAATAATATTTGGAGGCAAACAACAAACTCCTGAGCCCACGGTTTCTCCATCACCACCACCACAACCAAGAACACAAGCACCTCCTCCTTCAACACCATTATTCGAGTATGTATATATGATATTGGTCACTTTAAATTTTAACAAATTAACCTTTAATATTGGCTTACATTTTTTCTACTTAAAGTTTTCATCAACCACACTTAGACGAATTTTTAAGTTCATTTTATCAACATCCAATGCCGGGATCTGCAACCAATGGTGAATATAAAGCTTCAACTGACATTCCTCGGCAACGCACTAAAAACAAAAGAAAAAAATAGTAAATATTAAATAATATGCATATTCCTTGAAGATGCACTATTAAATATACGTTTTTCATTCTCAGAAAAAAAAAAATTTCAAAATAAGTATCTTATTTAGACTAATAATAACTCATACAAATCACAACTTTTTATTTATATTTATATTTTAAGAACTTATCACTTGTACTTGTTATTACAAGTGCATTGGCGAATTACACTGTTTTTTTTTTTTTTAATATCATTATCATTAAACTGTCAGTACTATCATTTTAATGTATGAACAAATACCAACTAATGCCTGCCTTGAATAAGTGATGTATTTTTTTAATATTTATGATTAGAGTTTTAATTAATTTACTTCATAATATTAACATTGTATCCTGTGCAATTTCACAATTTAGAATTTTTAATTAACCTCAATATAATAAAACTCCTGTGTTTTTATTTATTTTCTCTTTTCAAAAACTTACATTTTTTTCTTTCTCTGTCTAAACATTTCTAATAATATATCTTTAACTGATTTTGAATGTTAACTTTTTCTTACCTTATAGAATGATCCACTGAATTTATTATCTGAAAATGTTAACATAAATCGTAAATTCTTTGGTAATATTATTAACTTTGTGTGAAATTAATTAAATTATAATGAACACAATGTCTGATTTTAAAATATTGCAGTATTATAAAAATCGAAATATTTGTGTGTTATTTTTCTTCTCAAAACTTCTTCATTCCCCAATAGTTTTCCTTTGATGTGAATCAATAATATTCATACATAGTACAACAATGCAGCGATATTTTATGAATCCAGGCCCAAATTATATAAAAATATTATTCATTGTTCTTCAAATTGTATCTTATTGCATCACTTACAAATTAATATTTGATAATATTTCCACGTGTAGAAATAGCAAATAATAGAATGCTAGTAGAATACACTAGTCAACTGTTTGGTTAATCTTAACCAAATTTTTAACTTTAGTCGGTTCACCCTGGATACTGGTGGATAGAATGGAGGTGTGAGACATAAACCATCAAATTTTATGTTATTCAACATCGGACAGATATTTGTACTCGTTCATTTTGTATTCATTTGAACGATTCTCAATGAAAGGTAACTTAAATCATTCTCATAATTTCGGTTTACTCTATGCCTAAGAATCGCATACAAAACATTGAACTTTAACTGGATAGTGCGCTAATTAACTAGTGAGTTGATTGCTCGAGTAGGTTTAAAATTGCAAAGCTTAAAACAAAATCGGTTTTCGTTGATGTAAAATTTAACGTACGGTCCATGGGGATTATTTTACCACCGTAAATATGTGCAATCGTCAGCTGTTATTAGTATTCGATAGTTCATATTGAATAATGGACAGCGTAAGACAGCCATAGCGTACGCCTTCCTACCCGGTGCTAGGTGTTGCCGCCAAGTTGTTGCGTTATCACGGTGACGAGTTGTTACCGGCTGTTGCGCGAACAAAATATTATTTCCCGCGAGAACTACGGACGTGGTGACCGGTCTGTCTGGCGCGTATTGCTCCGTCGTTGAACCGCAGAACACCGTTATTATTATTGTATGATGTACAAACGGTATCGCCCGCACGTCCGTTATGGTGGGAAAAAATTGAACAAATAATATTTTTACGATCAATCGGCGAATAATAAGATTTCACTTCCAGCGGTACGATTGTCCCGCGGTGGTCGGACAATGTTTCAATGTCAACCAGTCGATCTTGTTGCAAATCAAAGTTGCGGACACAGTTGATGTAACTAATCGGTCGTTTTTCAGCCGATTTCCAATGGGCGTTCCACGCTCTAGCGAGTGTTTACCTCTACCGGGGAAAAACATTGATTCGCGTTGACGCGAACAGCAGCAGCACCGTGGGTCGTACGAGCGATTCGCCGTCCCCCCTCGTTAGAACGCGCGGGATATCGTTTGAAATCGGTCTACGCGATCTGCTGTGACGATCGGGGCCCACGAGGAAAACGACTGCTCGACATCCTATACTTGCCCGGCGTCCCGCGGGCGACCGATTCTCTCGACGGAGAATCGATCGCGTTCTATGAGGCGATTTCACTGGGCGACAAAAAAAAAAAAAAAAAAAAAAAACGTTTTTCTCAAAACGGTCACCGTGGTACGCGATTACGGTATCACGCGTTTGTTTCGCATTATTTCGCCCAACCTTTTCAAAATATCGTCGACAGAGTACAACGTCGCCTGGTCAGAAAATGCACTGCCGAATGATCGAGCGCATCTGACAACATCGCGGTACCCGCGGTTCGAAATTTCCCGGTTTTTTTTTTTTTTTTATCGATACACGATCGAGACGCGTCAGTTGTTCGCGGACACCCGTCCCTTTCGCCGCCGCATAACTCCGCCGCGACGGGGACACGACGTCTGGACGCTGCGGACACGGAAGACCCGACCCCGGCGACGGGGCTATTCGTTCGGGGTCCCTTACCCGTCTGGGAAGGATTTCGCGGACGTAGGTTGTAGCATCGAGACCGGCCAAAGTGTTACTACCACCGCCGGTAAGGCACTGCGGTCGATTCACTTGAAACCAGTGCTTGATTTGGCAAAATTAAAGAAGAGGGACTCTGTTTGCTTGAAAAAAAATTGCGTCCCCAAAACTTGTTGAGCGTTATAATTATAACGTATTTATAGTAGGGGGTCGCTAAAATTTCTAAAAATTAGAAGGGGTACTCCGTCCCCCTGCGTCCCCGCTCAAGTCGAGCACTGCTTGAAACCGTTACGACCGGTCACAGCGTTGATCGTCGAACAGGAGGCGCTGATCGCGTGGTATGATTTAATCGTTTTCAGCGAACTCCCGTTTAAGGCGGCCACACGCTACGGTTTTATTTGTACGGTGTACGGTGCAGTTCGAACAACGTACACCGATAGTGTGCGGGCAATAAAACGGACGAAAAACACCGTACACGGAATAAAAACTGAGGAGTTTGATTTTTTGTCCGTGTTCGGTGTTTGAAACGAACAAAACCGAAGGTGTGTGCCCATTTCGGCGTTCGAACTAAAACCGTAGTTTTAAAAAAAACTATAAATACCATAATAATATTATATATATATAATATAACTAGCTGTCCCGACACGGCGTTGCCCGCGTATTAGTTGGTTTTTTGGCATTTTCGTAGGCCATGTATTAGTGTTATTATGTATGAGAAAATTTAAAAGTAATAGGTAAAGTATCTAAATGTTGAGATTAAGTACAAACCAACGTATATATTTTCTGAATTTACGTCGTACCGAACTTCGCATTTTATACCTTTGAACATTTCTCGAAAATTCTATAACTTTCTTAATTACAACAATTGCAATGCAAAAAATAATATTGAGATAAAAACCATAGGTTAGGTTAGTTATATAATTCTCGGAACAATTCATATCTACACGCCGCCGACGATAAAACACAAACAATAGAAAAAAGGTCAGATTACAGGTAGCTATATAGATACTGTCGCGGTCGGTCACGGGAAAACCCGAAATACACCATGCAATTATACACATTTATTAAAAAGTTAATTAAAATATTTGAAATATTAAAAAATTTGAAAAAAAACTATCCTATATTTTAAGTTGGACCAAATTACACACGGTGTAAAAAATTTCATCAAAATCGGTCCAGTAGTTTCGGAGATTATCGCGAACATACATCGTGACACGAAATTTTTATATATACAGATAATATAGCCGTAATATGCGATTAAATTCAACTAGTACGTACTAGTACGTTGATAATAATGTTGATGGTTTGATGTCGATTCGTTCGTCAAAAAAACGGTCCGTGTTGTTCGAACACCGTACAAAGATACAAAATGGATAGTGTGTGTCGTTCATCGGTGTACGAACTAAAAATGTGCGAACTACACCGTACACCGTACAAATAAAACCGTAGTGTGTGTGGCCACCCTTAACGGAAAAATTGTTTCAAAACTGCGGTTATAGTATCTGCTAATTTCTCGGATCCGACGTCGAACGTCCTTTGCTCGGAGCGCAATGCCCGACCTTAACTGCGCGAGGATAACTAACGTTTTTTTTTTTCCCCCCTCCGTTTTGGGAGAGAATCACCCGTCTCGTCGTATTCGACGAAAGTTAATGTTTTGTTTTATTCGGTACAAACGCGGACGGGGGAAGAAAATTAATCGGTGTTCACACGTTAGTTTATAATCAACCAAGTGCGTACGAATCACGATCAATCCTTACGTTTTGCGAGCGCTAAAATTTAGGTTTCGGTGGGTCGTATAAAGCCAGCTGGAATGGGGGAGATACCCTACGTTTTTTTTTTTTATAGTACATACCGAGTAAAAACCAGTGGCGTAGGAAAGGGCTCCGGTGCAGTAAGTAAACTAGGCCCCCTAACTAATATTATCTTTACACGAAAAGTCAAGGTGTGTACACATCATATTATGACTATATTATTGGTTTTTTTTTTTTTTTTTAACGCGAATACTTTATTTATTACGAAACCGCAAACAAAATTAATCAACAGTCGTGCAAGATAAAAAGAAAATCCAGTTTTTTAGGTATTTTAAAGAGCAAAATGATGTTGCGTGAATTATTGTTCCACTTCAATACCGATTGTTACTGGAATCACCACGTATGATTCGAACAGTTATTGTTAAACACCACGACACATTGTCGATTATTTTAGGGAATTATAGTTTCAGAAATGTCCAAGGCGCCCCGGGGCACTGCCCTGTAATAGCTACGCCACTGGTAAAAACACACCACGGAACGAAAAATGTAAAACAAGTTATTAATATTTCACTTGGACACGACTGTGTCTACACGAATCGAAAAAAGCTTAAAATTATAGCTGCGGGTAAAAGGAAGAAAAAAAAAATGCATTGCAATCGTGTTCGATGTATAGGTGTGTGAATCTGTATTTTATTAATGTTTCAATGTGATATAAACGTAAAAAAAAAAAACAATCGGCTTAAAAAGCTAAACCTCAAAAATCCAAACAAACTAATTAATAATTATACGTAAATAGGTACTTAAAAATCGTACATCGTTAATGATTAAGAGTTTTTATTTCACGTCGACGGGAATGCGAGAAAACAACGTTGACACTAAAATTGAATAAATGACTAAACAAAAAAAAAAAAAAACTTACGTAAAAGTATTGAACGTTAATAGTTTTTGTCTATCGGCCGTCGTACCAAAGACAAAACGTTTTAACAACTATAAATGTTATGTATCCACACGGCACAATCGCATAATACGTTGTATGCGACGTGAAAAAGTGTCGACAATGAAAAACAAAACAATAAAAACGTTCGAACGCACATGAAATTCACGCGTCATTCGCGTATTCCTGTCCAGACGAATAATGGTAACGTTAAAAAGTCAATTTTCGCGTTACATCTGCGCACCGGTAAACAAACGTGGACCGAATGAATTTCTACTCGCCACGTACGAAACGGTAATAATAATTATTAATCGTAAACTATGATATTATGACGAATACCTGAAGTAAATATGTTTAAGTAACAATTATTTCAAACAAAAAAAAATAAAATAAAAAATAATAATACATTACACTCGTAACAGTTTAAAAAACTAAAATAATATTATTTCGAGTACCCATCGTTATTATTTTTATTTTTTATTCTTGTGGTAAGGTAAGTCAATTTGTTTAAACTTTTGTCTCTGTATAGAACAAAATAAAAATGAAAAACCAAGTACATTCAACACATATTATGAAATATATTATTTACCCTTAGAATTACATTTTTCTTTGGTTTTTACTAACATATAAGGCCACACAAACACAAATATATATATATATATATATATATATATATATATATCAATCCGCATCAAGCCATAGTATAATATTTAATAAATATATGAATAATTATTATCGTGTACTTAATTTGAATTGTATAACAAATTAAAAAAAAAAAATATATCCTATTACAATAATTAACATTAAAAGTTGAACATGATGTTACATATTGATAAAAATAACATATATAATATATGCTTTAAATTAATAATATCTAAATGGGTATTAAGCCGTAATAGCTATTATAGTTTTATTCAATTATTATTTAAAAAAATTGTATACTTTTAAATATGTCATATCATAAAATGTACGAGGAATTCTATGGTCTCGTACAATTGAATGCTTACATAAACTTATTATATTTCAAACAACGCAATAAAAAATGTGTCAAATGTTTAAAAAAAAGTTATTGGTTGAAAACACTGTTTCCAAAATATAATATAAAATATTTTCTAAAAAAAAAAAAACACAAGCAATAAAATCTCATTTAAGCTCTAATTTTTCAAACTTAATTTTATTTTTATTAGTTCCCTAGTTTTTTTTATATTTCAAGCAATTTTTACAGAAGAATAATTATAATAATACGAGCATAATTTTTCTTCAGATTGGTAATAGAAAATCAATAATGTAATTGGTCACTGTGTAGTTGCATTTAAAATTTAGTCAATTTTTTTTTCTTTTTAATCAATTTATGTTTCTTTATTTTATTTATATTTGTTATAGTTCAAAAATCCATCACTTTTTTTTTATACCTTATCAATTGCACAACATAAAAATATTTATGACATAATTATTTGATTTATAAAAATCAAAAAAAAATTACAGAATCAACTCTAAGTCCTTCACCTTCAACAATAAGTAAAATGATTATCCTTTTAATCTTTTTATACTGCTAGATAAAATAATAGTTACAAATAAAATATTAATTTTGATTAATAATTTGAGAAACTTGTGTTTACACAATTAATCAAAAAATAGTTTTAAAAATGAGTATAGTACTTTCATACTTGACATTTTTAAATTAATTTTCCTATAATATGTGTTAAAATGTTTCATTTTAAATTAAATTTTCTTATTTGATACTACAGTTACAAATTAATGCATTGTAAATACAAAAATTTCTTTGATTCATTAAAACTCATTTTTAATAAAAAAATAACTATGCTTAAAGCTAAAATATACATAATTTAACATGTTATATAACCTATTAGTAAAAAAAAAAAATTAGTTAAATTAGTATGCAAAAATTATTGCAGAATTACAATATAATTTGATCACAGAAGTAATAGGGTGCAAAAATTATTGTTATATGATTTTATTTTATTTTGGACATTAAGTCTCAACCCTGAATTTTGTTCAGTTTTAAAAGCTGCAAAACTTATCTACTTTATAGATATTTGAAATTGTTTTAAAAGCTCGGCACAGTACGTATAGCTAGAAAAAAGGATAATCTCAAAAAATGATAAAAAAAAAAATATAAATAAATTTCAGTGAATTGCACCGTGTGCTGAGATCATTGTAGTCTCTGAACTTTCAATTGCGATTGAAGTGTTGATACAAGTTCTTCGAGGTCTTGAATCCGCCGATCTCGATGAGCTAATTGCTTTCTGAGCATGTTTAGTTCTTCACATTGACGGGTGAATGCTTTTTTCATCTATTACCAGAGAAAAACATATTAATATTTTAAAAAACTATAATATTATATTGAAACAAAAAAATATCTTATTATACCAACCTGATATTCATTTTTTGGACTGTCATAATTAGTATTTTCTTTCATATCATTGTATTCATCTTCTCCATCATTCTAAAATAAGTTATAATAACTAATTACAAATTGTCAATCATTTATCAAGAACCTATTTTAAAATAATACTAGACAAGAAAGATCATACAAATATAAAGTTAAAATAAAAAAATACTCAAAGGTATTTTTAATATTCTATAACTAATATATATGAAACACTTTAAGACCTACCATGTTCGTAAATTTGTTTACTAATGAATGACTTAATTTCTGTTGTATTTGTTGAAACCTTGTATTTTGATTTACTTGAGTCTTTTGGGTCTTATCATTATCTGCCAACATCTATTTAAAAAATGTTTAATCAATCAGTTACCAAGCAATAAAACTGATTTTGTTTTACTTACATCAAGAGGTCGATAATCAGGCACAGTTTCTTTAGAAAGGAATGCATATTTCATACGATAATTGGTATCATTGCGAGTGGCTTCATTGGAAACAAATGCTTGGGGCTTATGAGTTTTTACTGAAACACCTTTAAAAATTAACAGAAAATCAATTTATTTTATTGCACATACATAATATATATCTTTGATAAAAATTTAAATACTATGGTAAAAATGACCTTTTATTGGTAGTAATGTAAACAAATAGATGTACAGGTTATCTAAATATTGAAATCTAGTAGCTATAATAATTGAATAATCAGTCACCAGATTATAATAATACTTGAATAATTTAAACATTTTTATCCATGAATTTAAAATAAAATGTATCCGAAGTATCTAATTTTATTTAATTAGGATCAAAAAAAAAAAAAAAAAATGTTCGTTAATTATCATCATTATTATTTTTTTTATAAATTATCATTTACTATGGCATTTAAACTGAACTTATTACCAGATAAAAAATTTAAAAAAATACATAAGAATAAATGTATAAATGTTTAAAATTTATTTTAAAAGAGAAAAAAATTCTAATAAGATATTACTAATATTCTTATCTTCAACTAACACTATTATTAGTTTATTATATAAAATTGTAATATTAGTTCACACCTGTTCTCATTGACATTAAAACTGGCGGTTTGGTAATACCATTAAACCATTCTTGAGCATTCAATGCTGGTACAGGGGCAGCAGTATCGGGATACAAGTCATGCTGATATTGATCACTCTGAAATATATGCAATATACATTAATTGCAAATAAATAAAAAAAATTATATTATATATTATTTTAATAGTAACAATAATAACCAATTAATATAATACAATTCATTTTTATAGGGTAATAAAAGTGCAATGCATATTAAACTACAATGAAAAATGATAAATTATTTTATTATTATATTATATAATTTATGGCATTGTTTTAAAGTATTATCATTATTTACAGTTATTATTTACTTTTAAAAATAATCTTTTTAGTAATTAATATTAGTTATGATTATTTTAATATATATATGTAAATATAATAGTATTAATAGATTTGAATTTTAGATGATAAATATGTTACTTGAAACATAGATCAAGGTTATGATATGACTATAAATTTAATATATCTATAATTATATATAAGTTCATATGGTTAGTATTTTTAAGTATTCATATATAATCATTTTACCTTTCTTGGAACAATCATTGAAATTGGTTCACATACATTACGAGTAGTATGCAATTTATAAAATCGCATAATTTCACATCGACTTACACTACAGCCACGTTTAACCATCATTCCAAATCCTTTCTAAAAATATATAAAATGCATAAATAATGAATGATTTGTATTTAAAATAATAAAACAAAAAAGTAGATATTTTTAAAATGTTATTAACAACTAACCTGTGGGCAACCGGATATAAATTGATTTAAGAAGTGAATGTATGGTGGTTCATTAACAATTTCATAATACCTTATGTTTCCATCACCCTAAAAGATATAACACATTAAATAGGTTCATACTTTGGTAAATAAAATTTCAAATACTGAATCATGTTAATTTTTAAAACTTAAAACTAACTTTTCCAGCCAGGTAAACCATTTTTGTGTCATAATCATAGTATGGAAATAAAATTCCTGATGATGAATCAACATTAACACGCTGTAGTGGCTCTGATAAGTTAGTATGATTCCAAATGGCTATTTGTCTATCTGAATAAGTTGAAAATCCTGTGGTCAATAAGCGTTCATTATCTAAATAAATCACCTTGGATGAACGTGATCCTTCATGACAAATTCCTTCCTATATAAAATAATTTTCGTGATTAGATAAAGATTAAATATTTTAGATAATAGGTTGTTATCATCATATTTTTAATTTCACATAATAAATTTACTTACTGCAACTACTAATCCAGATCTAGGATCAATTGACCTGACTTTTTTGTCTTTGCAAGTGGTTGCTATTCTACTACCATCTCTATTGAATGTTATTGAATGCACTATATCTGGATGACAGTCAATTGTATTTAAAATTTGACCAGATCCCGCATCCCATAACATTACCTAATTAATAATAAAAATAACTTAAACCACTGAACTATAAGAGCATCAAAAGATTTAATAATAATAGTACACTCAATAAAGCTCTTATTTTAGGTTGATGTATTGATATATTTAACAGAGTTCTAGTTCTAAACATTTTATTTTGATCATAGATTTTAAGTTAAAAGCTCATATAACTTGTTTCAAATTTTTAGTATTATCATTATAATTATCTCATTTAAAATAGACATAGTAAATCTATTATTAAAATAAAATAAACTATTTAACTATCGCAAATTACAATATTTATTCAATGTATTATACTATTTTGAAGTTTGAAGAAAAACATAACGCTGTATCTATTGATATATTTTAAGATTGTAATGTTTGAAATTATAATAACTATTAGCTAGGTACATTAATTAACTAATGAAAAATGTATATTTTGAGTAAAAAAATAACATTTATTGTATTGTTAATTTATAATTAATTTTAAAGTGATTATCAAATAAATTTATTATTTAAAAAATATATTAATAATATCTTAGTTTTAATATAAATTAAATCATTGTTTTTTTATTAATACAATTTTAAATAATATTGATGACATCTATTCATTGTAAAAAGTCTTTCAAGTATAATAAAGAATCCATACGTTTTTTTATATCAAAAATACCAATATTGTTTTACATATTTCATATAAAAGAATTATAATATAATCTTTCATACCATGTAATCAAATCCAGAGCTAGCTAGAACATTTTCTGCAGTAGGATGCCACTCAATATAACCAACCCTGCGGCGATGACCTCGTAACTCAATCAACCATTCATTCAAGTTGCAACTTAAACCACTGTCAGGAATATACCATAGTTTAATCTATAAAATAATCATTCAATATTATCACTTAAGATTTAAAACAAATTTAAATAAATCATTTATAACTTACAGTACAGTCATCAGAACATGAAGCAATTATGTTATCATTGAATGGATTCCACTTTACATCCAAAACTGGACCTCTATGGCCAGTAACTTTGCTAGTATTTAAATCTAAACGGCCAGTCTAAAATCAAGTTTCATTAAAATTAAAGACATAAATAAAAACATTTCAAATAATCTTACCTTGTTGATAGGCAATACTACAAATGCTCCTCCACCAGCAACTTCTGTGACAATGGCAACAAATTTTGGATTGGCAGCACAAAAATTAGAATCATGAGCATTGCGTGTAATTGGTATATTGTCATATAGTTCTTCTCGTCTTGATGGAGAACCATAAACATGGCGAAACTTAGAACTACGTACTCCACGGAACAACGACTGTTAATAATAAAACAAAACAATAAATTTTACTCTGTATAAATTTCAAGAGGAATATAAAAATATTATAATTTATATTTCAATTTTACCGTATTATTTGTCATGTTGATTATCTTACTATGTTAAAATAGTATCTCAATTTCATGCATTTCAAAAATAAAACTCAAGGAAAAATTTTAAACATACAAAACTGAAAACAAAAAACAAAATAAAAACAATATTAACACTTCTATTTACTACAGCAAACATATTCACCTACCGTTCTCAACAACAGTCATTCAAAAATAAAAGTAAATAATAAAAATTAATAAAATAGAAGTAGGTAGGTAATTGTTATATCTAATCTAATTGGATATTCTTAATAAGTGAATTAAAAAATCATTCCGAATACAATCGTACGGAACAGTATATAAGATAGTAGGATTAATAATGGCACTCGACGTATAAAAAATAAAATGTTCATGAATTATGCAAGTGCATGGAACAGTTATTGTTGCCCATTCTCTGCCTCTGTTTTGAACATAATTATGCACCTTGCTAATAAAAATTTTTCAACAGAGAAATTTTTAAACAAATTATTCAGATGCTCACGACTACCTGTTCCGTGCAACTAGTAACCAAATACCTAACCATATTTACTTAATATATGTCGGACATAATAATATACGTAGTAGGGCACGCAACACTACGGATGAGACGTCGTAAAAATTAATTAATTTCCATCACGAGTGTACGATTATAATTGGTAGATGATCATGAGCCGTGGCGATTAAACGAAAACTAAAAACTCAAACGGTGCCGTCGAGCAGAGAACACACTAACGCAACGTAATAAACGCGTGCAGACGGATTTTCGGGGTTTACCGGTGTACTGCGGGAGCAGACATTTTTATCGAGCCGTTCCAGGACATCACTGATCATCGGACAAAAGCGTTACCCACCTTGATCACGGGCTTGTTGCAGGCTCTGATGTCGACCAGAGCGTTTGACTTGAACACGTCGTCGATCTTGGCGCGTTTGTCCAGAGTGCCCATGTCGCGGATGGGGTAGGTGCGCGCAAGTGTGGCGAACGACGACAACACGATCACATCGGATAACGGACTGGCGGATGAATTGGCGGGTAAACTCTCGACGGAACGGTGTAGGGCGCGAAACACTCGGCTGCGACGAGGGCTGCTAACGGGTAGCTGCTGCGAACCGACGCCAACGTTGACTGACGGCACCCGGTCGGACGCGGTGCGCGTCTATTGTCTCGCGCCGAGAACGTAATAACAACATCTCCGTTGCGACAATGCGCGTGCGCGTGCGTGGGCGGGTGCGCGCGCTCGGCCTTCGGTGACGGTCGCGCGGCTCATGACTAACCGCGGTAACCGTGGGAATGGGGAGAGAAAAGGACGGCCGAGACGGGTTCGACAACCTTGCCGGACGTCGCGTGACCGCGCGTAAAAGATTAATATCAACGTAAACACACGCGCACACGCACGCGCCACCCAACGTCCTTTCCGTCCCTTCGAACGGACCGTGACCGATACCCGGGGGCGCCGCGTGTGTTGTGCGTTTTATAACCGGCGCCGATCGGTGTCGACGCGAGGGTCGACCGGTCGAGAAGGCTCGACAAAGAAATTATCCCTTTACGGTTACGAAAACGCCGTGTGTGCTTATCGAGCAAGGTGTCGCCGGCGCAAGCTAGTTGGAATTATTGGGGGGGGAGGCAGGACCGGATTGGCCCGGCGAGTTACCGAGCAAAACTCGGTGGGCCGCGACAATTTTTTGCCTTTTAAGTTGTGAAAGGCCGCTAACAGAAAATATTAATAGTTGAAGATTAGTGCACCTATTGAAATATGCGATTAAAAAATTTGGACAAGGGCCGCCAGTTAATATGTGGGTTGGTGACATACAGAAAACTCGGTGGGCCGAATTTGTCCAATCCGGCCTTGGGGGAAGGGGGGGGGGTTAAACATGGGTACTCAACACTCACCTAGGTACGAGAATTGGTCGCTGCGGTCGCATAATATAAATTCCGTACTACACGTGTATTGTTGTATGGTTGTTTTTATGTCCATCAAATTCCCGTCCACCTACCAAATTAAGGAGGGTGATTTCCTTCCTGGTTCCCTAGGTTTGCGCCTCTGAAGGGATGTTGCTAAGACAATCACGGTTATCCGTGACCATTTTTAGGAAATGTAAAAACAAATCTCAAAAAAATGGCTCAAAAATTAAGGAAAATAATAATTTAATATATTGGCACTTCACATAAATTCTGTAATAAGTGTCAATTTGGAGGTGTTGTGGTGTATCTCTCAGAAGTTACTTTGCAATGTTAATTTGTATATTCCTCTCTTAATTATCCTGATTCTGATAAGGCTATAGCCTTGGCGAATCCAGGGGGGGGGGGGGCATCTGAGGACAAGTTCAATCTCCATTAGAAAAAATAATATTATAAATAAAGAATATTTAGAAAAATTAAATAATAGATAATAAAAATACACGTTGACAGTTTTAGTACAATATTGTCACCTTATTTATGGGGGTCTACGCCCCTAAAACACCTATACATACACCTTTAATCAGCTATATTGTATAATTTTTCCTATTAAGTGCCTCGACCGTAAATAAATGATGGATCCTGGCTACAGGTTACGTGATAATAAATAGTCATCTGGTTACAGCAGGCGTGTACACAAAAAATATTTTAGGGGGGGTTTTAGGTTGTACATTTTCATAATAATATAATCTATAAACCAATTTTACTATATAAAAACATATTAAATATCATTTTACTAAATTTTGGGAGGGGTTTGAACCCCTAAAACCCCCCCTTGTGTACACACCTGGGTTACAGTGTCGGTATTTTAATTTTTTCTGGGGGGAGGAGGTCCTTTTACATTATCTTATAATATATAAAGAAAAAAAAATGTTTGATTCATTAATAATTACTTAAGTCTAAAAATGTAATTCTTACACTAACAAAAAAAAGAACATAACATAGTATTAAGTAACAAGACAATATATTTAAAATATAAAATATAATGTACCAAAACTTAAGCGCTTGACTTGGTGAAGGGTTCGGATCCTTTGGACCCCCCCCCCCCCCGTAAAACCACCACTGCCTGGTTGTTTAGACGTGTGCCCACAATGTCGTGTACCACGTATACGACGATCATGTAGATTAGAAAATTAATCATCGACAACTGCGGCACGTTTTGCTAAAGAATAACACGGTGCCGTGTTATGTGGACAATAGGGTTTGGACATATTGGATTTCTCCCTGAGCGGATATGACGTTAGGTGGATTAGGTCTTTAGGATCTCTTTGTAGATCGGAGTCTCATGCTTATAAATAATAACATTTAAAATGTAAATTATTGCCAACAAAGGTTATCCAAACACCATACACGATTGAATTTAGTTGAACGATGTTTGATATATACGATTATAAAGCAAAACACCAAGAAACAAAAAACACATAGAAGCCTGTGTGTGTTACTGACATGTAAAGTTGTCTTAAATCATCTTTATACTACTATAAATATATTATTTAATTAATTTTGAATCAGCCGGTTCAACATTTATTAAATATTTTAATATTATATATATATATATATATATTTATATTATATTATATTATAATATTACAAAATTTGGTATTGATGAGGTTTTGCAGCTGCATGAGGTATTCTCCTTACGTCGTTTGAATGTAATTTAAAAAATTAAGTAATAGAGTAAAAATCCCACACGTAGGGTTAAATTATAGCTTCTTTGTTTAAAATAAAATTATAAAGCTCGTACGTATATGGAATATGAGTGATATTTGAAAATGTATAAAAAAAAAAAGTCTCTTTTATAGTGGTTAGAGCACCAATAAGTTGTAGTCATGAAAAGGGTGACACTCTCGCGTGTCGCACACACGACCCTTTAGAAAAAACGCTTCGTTATATTATTTTTCAAACGTGTGGAATATTGTATAACCCCCCCACGATATAATAGCCCGCTGACCTTAACCGATTATACTCCCCTAAAGAGAGCAATTTTTTTGTCGATCGTTAGCGTTAGCAATAGGGTCCGACTCTTTTTATATTTAATGAAGATTACGGTTTTATTTATTTCAAAACTGGATTACACCCGAAAAAACACCAGAAAAACGTCAGGTGTTTAATTATGTCACGCACCTCTGGACTGATGCATTTTTAGCAACGCAAATTAGACAAATACTTGGATTAAATTTACTTCGAATGATTTAAATGTAGGCGTATTTGAGAAATAAAGAGCATTTTTACATATGACTAATAAATCTTACTACTAATAGTAGTTAATTAATTTAATTCAGTAGGTAAATCTAGTAAAATTAGATTGTATAAAATATAAGCACCACATTTTGAGACATCATCTGTCGAGACAGCTTAAAATGTTATTTGGGGGGAGGTCAAACTATTTTTATACTTATTGTTTTCCTGTTTTTAATGACCCGCATCAAATATTATAATTGTGCCGGTATTTCTAAATTTTTAACTCATATAACGGTGATATTTCATTACTCTCTTTGAGCACCAGTGCACCACCCGTATTACCCGTAATACCCTTCATTAAATAGAAATTATAATATATACTTGATAATATTATGTTGGTATCTTGTTTTAAAATTCTTTTTCAGGCTTCTTGGTTGCTCTATTAATAATGCTGTTAAAGCACATTTCTTAATTCCACTTCTGTGGGACAAGTGCAATAAAAATAATGGTCTGGTGATGTGAATAATTTTCTGCTCGAAATTTAAAACGACTTATTAGGTTCTCTACCATCTATCGTGAAATTAGTGATTTTAGTTCCCATTTATTTATACAATAAGCGCTCGTTAAGCTCATACATGACGGCGGTTTTACAAATTGTAATAATGCACACGTAGCACGGAAGCAATTATCGTTATTGTAATTTTCACAAGGTGTTATGGGTATATGAGTGTATTTAAATAAATAGGTTATACTCTACAGAGATGGGGTGGAGGTCATTTGATCCCCGGGGATACAACAGGTCCATTTAATCCGTAGGGGGTCATGTACCAATGTATGTAGTATTGTACGAGTATAATAAATGATATCTACTCAAGAAGTATGTAGGTAATACTATTACAGTATTTTGGTAACAGAGATAGATGGTAACAGATAGGACGATCATATATAATAATATCATACAATTTCTATTATACTTTCTCGATGGAAGTAATCTTTAACAATCGAATAAAGCGGTGGTTTTTGTACGGTAGTGTATGAAAAAAAAGCATTGCGGCCAAGATTCTGAGTATAATGATATTGTTTTTAATTATTATTATAATACCATAGTACATTTATATCTGAGTACAAATTAAAAAAAGAAAAAATAACTGTAAGCTGGGTATGCGTAAAGAAATAATTATCTAGTGCTAATTAACTTTGCTATCATAATACTACTTAACTTCTCATATTAATTTCTGTTTAGATAGAAGATAGACGTAACACATATTTTATACATGCATAAAATATTATTTACTTAGAATTTATATTTTTAATGTATGTGCTAACATATTAATATATGTGTACATACATTTAACATACACTTAAAAGTTAAATATTGTTAATTATGCGATTTCGCTCAATAGAATACTTTATAAAAATCTGAAGAAATATAGCTTAACAGAAATAATTTTGACTTCGATTTCATAAAATTTGATAGATGATAACTTAAATAATTTATTGAATGCTTGAGAATTAAAATTGTAATATTTTATCGTATATAGGCCGTTCGCTATTAAAAAATTAACCACTACGTTATTTTTCGATACATTACCTAGGGTGCTACGTGTACCCATTTTTGGTACACTCTGTTTTTACTAAAAAATTGTTGTGTACCAAAATTGATACATTAGAATCTGTTAAAAAGTGTCATGTGTACCGAATAGTTTACATAGAAACAAGGTCGTCGTCATGAGGGGAAGACAACGAGACCATTTTTCTCCAGGCCCCAGTCTAGGAAAAGTTAAAGGAGGCCCTCTTTGAGTCCAGATTGATTAAAAATAATCGGCGTTATTAATTAAAAATGATTAATATATTAATATATTATTTTTGAACTGTTTCTTTATGACATATTAATATATTTAACTAAGTAAAATTAACTTAAATTTATATTTAAGCGTTATTATACAGACTAAATTTTCAGTAATTCTAATTTCTAAATATTTTTAATTGTAATTTATTATGGTTGTTGCCGGAGTATGAAGAATGACATAATTTTATTCAAATTTACGTAGAAATTCGTTAT